ACTTGCACGCTGTGAGAACCAATCACTTGTTTAACAGGAGCATCGAATAGACAAAGCACTAAGAATTATTTCCAACAAAACACCCAGTCTTGTCTTTTACTTGATTGGAGTTTCTTTGTATCAGCACCAGTATCCGCATGGTGCTGCACTGTATGGGATGGACATAATGCAGATTATACACAGGGAACTAGGTTGCACAATAAAAAAGTGTTACAGTCGTTCTTTATCATTTAAGCACATTAAAACTGCTAGTTCTTCACATCCAAAAGATTGGCCATTGACTGAATTGTTGCTTCTGCTAGGAAGAAACAAGCAGTAATAATTGAGAGTTTCTTTAGTGGGATCCTGTGTGTTCGTATGGGTGGTAGCTGGGCTCCTGCTTCCTGGGGCATGGCCGGAGTCACGCAGCAGGGGACACTTCTCATTCTCACCATTCCATGCCTATTTCCAGACAACGCACTGCTCAGACAAACTCTTTGCTTCTTCTCATGATCCTCCCACTAGAAAGGAATCTCTGGTTTTGCTGCCTGTCCAGGTGACCTGCACAAGTAGAGACCCTGCTGATTACTCCTGGTCTACAGTGCAAGGGTTTATCAGCAGACATAAATTTTTGTGGCTGTAGGTGTGCATGTGCCCTCCTATGTGTTCTGTGAGATAGCAAAAGCCAATTTGTCAGCCTGGGAACTGGTTGTCTTTAACCCTCTATCTTTTCAAGTGCATTTAGCTTTCAAATGACAAGTCTGTCAGCAAAATGACTATGTAGGCACTGTGTTGTTTATACCTGTTCCAAAAGGCCTTTATCCATAACCTATGATGCCCCTGCCTTCAACCTTGCTTTTGTCACCCCTCTGAAGTCTTGGAAGGGAAAGGGGACAAAAGAACTACAGTCCTACAAGTCCCCCTTCCCTAAATATCCCTCACATGCTGTTGTACTGCTTCTTTCCCTCCTAGCCCACTTTGCAAATCACTTAAGATAAAGAGAACGATCACCTCTCTATCCTCAGAGTTTTGTTCAGGGCATCCAGGATTTTCAGCATGTGAAGAAGGGGAGGGCTTCTCACAGCTGGAGTTGGACAACTGCAGGAACAGGAGTGTTTGTGCAACACTGCAATGGAAAAACAAGTCAATAGCGGTGAAAGAGCTGAGAAATTATGTTAAGCAAAGGTGAAGTCTTTAAACAAGGCAGCTCATGAAAAACCCTCCCCTATGCCAGCACTTTTCCTTCGGGATTGCATGCTTTACTCAATAAGCAGCCTATATCTCCTCCACTTCTTGCTACAGGCTCCCCGTGTGATTTGGTAGAAGCAGTCCTGCAGATGTGTGGCAAAAGGTAAGTCAGCGTGGCACCATCTTTCACTAAGTCTACAGCTTTTTGAAACTTAGAGGATCTGGGGTGGATCTAAACGTGGAAAAGGAGGGCTGTCAAAGAAGTGCAGCAATGCATAGTGCTGAATGCAGGGATACTTTTAGCCTAGTTACCAAAGGTTCAAGTTATCACTCCATTAGAGTATCTGTCTGGGTATCAGTCTCCAGCCATTTTTAAACCTGCTGGTTAATTTTACTCCAAATAGCGAGCATAATTTAATAACATATACAATGTCGTATAAGAAGGTAGCACCCATCTCAGTATGATACGGTACTGTGCACCACATTGCAAAGCATAGCTAGCTAAACTGCAGCAGTTCATAGAGCAATATAATGCATCATAATACATTTCCCAAATGAAAGTAGTCGTGCACTGTCTTCAGGCTTTCTAGAGGACACAGTCATTGAGAAGGATGAAGATGGGCAGGGACAAGAAGTATCTGGCATACTTGAAATCTGAACTGCTGAGAACCGGGAAACATAATTAGTTCTCTAATGCAGCCTTGCTACTTCCCTTTTCAGCAGATAAGCTAATACACATGCTAAGCTACACACTTGCAGGGTACCCATATGCCTTGTTCAGGGAACAGGAAATGTTATAATTATTGCAAGCACTGCAAAAAGTTCTATCAAGCAAACCTTGTTCTGGGCATGAGACACAGAGTTGAGCTACCTGCGCTTATTCTAGTCTTGAAAACCTTGATTCCCCCACTGACATGCCCTGCTTCTTGCTGATGCTTACAACCCATTCGTTTTCACCCAGGGCATTCCCTTTGCCACTGTCCTTTCACTTGCCTTTCATTAACATCCTCCTTTTATGTTTCCTTGGGTAATATAGCTAAGACTTTTTAAAGAGGGGTAATGAACTGATGCCAAAATAGTGGATATTCTGTTGACTGTGTATTGACTTGAGATACAGGATTCAGCTTCAAGCCTTCCTCCAAATACCACAACACATGGCAGAAGCTGGATACCAACCTACCAAACGTCCTTTCTTATTAGCTCATTTGGGCAGTTTTTTTCTTTTTCTCTTTTTTTCAGTCCCTAATTCCACTTGGAACTGAAAGCCTTCCCTGACAAACTGTTGGCAGTGTGGTATGTCTATGTAAAAACCTGTGGTTTCAGTAAGTCCACATTTTTGGAGAAAAATACTTCATTTGAAAAATAAGTAACCAACTCTACTGCTTTTACTGTTGTTCCCTTTACTGTCTAACTGGCAGTGATCTTCCCACCATTTTGCTCTAAACCAAAATATAACATTTGTTCATAATTTTCATATTTCCCCCCCCCCCAAAAAAGTAGAAAAAGTAGATTTTCATCTTAGTCTGAGCATAGCTGCAGAGCAGTAGTTCTTAACACCTTGATAAAATGAAGGATAAAGTTAGAAAATGGTAAGTTAAACCATTTTAAAGAGCAATATTTAGTTTTGTTCCTATCACCCATCACAGGAGAAGAGTCAACATTATTAGAGGTAGGCTTCGTTGACTATCCTTACACATGAACACTGGCAGAAGTAGCTGGTTTTAAAATGCTACCTTTCTCCCTCATGAATCCTTCATTTTGAGGAGATACCAATCTGTTGTCCAGGCTTTTTATTGTCACTGCAGGCATGAATCTCTTGTCTTAATATGTGCATAATTAGCTATTTTAGATGGCCTGGTGACTGAAGATATCCACACAGAGCTGAGAGAGATGAGACAGGTATGGCAGGAAACCTGTGCCCTCCTGGAGCAGCAGGTGAGGCCACGTGAAATACAAGTGGGCATCTCAAAGGGCACTAGACATCTATGTGTGGGCAACTGGATTAGGTCTCCTAATTCAGGGCCCCACTGAGAGCTTACAAATATGGAGGCACCTGTGTATGTTTAGACCTCTATATATCTAGGCATGTTACTCTCCTATTAAATCCTTCCCTAAAAGTGTCATAGCTAATCTTCAGCAAGATTTTGAGGTTTTTCACACTACATTTGAGTTTGGGGGGATTAGAACTAAATGTATTGAAATCAGTGATTAGCTTTATACTAAAAAAATGAGAAGAAATTTAAAGGGTTTAAGAAATGCTGCATTTTGGATTCATTCCATGTCACTTAAGTCATTTAAAAAATATATGTTTGATCTAAGTTAGTCTAGGCTCCCTCTGCCACTGATCATGAAGGCAACCTAAATAAATCCCTTTGACTGGATATCCAATTCTGACAGCTTGCAGTCTTTGAGGTGAAGGTTGCATGGCTTTCCACATCTCCAAAACAAGACTCTGTGACTTTTTTTTGTTGTAAAATTGACTATTTTGTTAAAAATTGGCCTAAAAGAACAAGTAAAGGTGTTAAATAACCTCAACAGAAGGTCAAATTTTGTGAAATGAAATACTGACATTACTTCAACTGGTTATAACAGGAATCCTATGCTTCCTACCCTGCACTGCAACAGGGAGCTGTTGAGCTGGGGAGACACGGGGTTGGAGTTGGCTGGGTGTCAGGGACGTGTGTGCTGCCAGCGAAGGATTTCCGCAGAGGAGCCTTCAGGGTCATTTCAAAAGAGTGCTGGGCATAGCATTTATCATTCTTCATCTCCTGAGTTTGTTGTACATCATTGTAATCCCCAGAGAGAAAACTCAGTGAAACATCACCGCTTTCCTCTTCTCTCTCTGTGTCTCTGTCTGCTGCCTGAGGCAGGTCCTCAGAGGTGCCATTACAACCTGTGGTTCTGACTCTCCTCTTTCTTCTCACACTTGGCTCCTGTACGAGCACTTAGTTTTTTAAGGAAGCAGTTTTTATCTTCTTTCCTCTACTCAGGTCGTCTATAATTTTATAATCTTCTTTGGCACGTTGCTCACTGCCAATCTGTGGTATCCTCCTGTCCCTGGGTATCTCTCCCACGCCCCTCAGCAGTGGCATGCAACCACCACATCCTGCTCCATCAAAGAAACCATGCAATTCTGATCTTTGTCACACAGCTAAACCATCCCTCCTTGTAATCCTGGAATAGTCATGTCTTCCAGCAGTGTCTCAATTGCATCTCCTAATCTCACGCTCCCGGCCATGTGAGAAAGGGATTTTCTGCTTAAAAAAAAAGGAGAACCAGCAACGGTGAAATTTTCTCACACCAGCAGCTCTGCAAAGCACACTAATGCAGCCGTGCAGATACCCTTACCTTTTTCCCTCCCCACGTCACCATTATCTCTGTCTTTGGTTCTCCCCACATAGGAGCTGAAGTCCCTCAGTTTTCATATCCCTGTGCTGTCCTAGCCTTGCAATACTCACTTTGCATTACCCTATCCCTCAGCCCTGCCTAGTTCCCCCAAAACAGTGTCGAGAGCCTCTCTGGAGCAGAGAAAAATTTAACATGTTGGCACTGTATTACATAAGTCACAAAAGAAACCACATAACTTGCTGCCTACAGCAAGACTGTCAGCAACATAACCTGGGATTTAAGCACTCTGTATGCAGTTTGATCTGTTTAAGCTCTGTCCCTGAAGATCAGATTAGATATCTCTCCTTCTCTGTTCCTGTTCTGTGAGCACTTGTCTCAGCAGATTAATACAAATGGGCTTTTCTAGGCTTTCCTAGCAAGTAAATAAGAATAAACTACCACATCCTTCAAAATCCACAGACCCGGGCTATGTTTTGTAGTGGATTATGCAAGTGGGCAAATTGGAGGTAAGTTGCACAAGGCAATTCTGGCAGAACCGGTTGGAAACCAGCTGGGGTTCTTTGTTTTTCATGTCATTATGCTGAAAGGTCTTAGGCAGGGCAACAGATGATGCCCTTTTCTCCTTCCACTCACTCCCACCAAGGTGCAGTGCATGGAGCAAAGGTGGTTTTCTTATTCTACTATTCCACTACAGTCCAGGCTGCTACCACAGGAGCCCCTGTTATGTGCCACAGCAGCTCCCTCTGATAAGCCATGGCACTAAGACTCATCAGCCCATTTCCAACAAACTTGCCAATAGTCACCACACCAGACAATAGGGTGGCGTAGCCAGGGTTCATTTCAGCATTTGCAAGAGAAAGGCAAGTTAGTCAGTAGAGCCCCTTTTCCTTGGCGAGAAGAGCCGGCATTCACCCATGCTGAGGAGTACTGGGTAGGAGGTAAACACTTTGTTGCTTTTTTTTGGTTCTGTAGTACAAAGCAACTATTAAAAATGTTTTAAGATGTATATGGGATGGCCTAGCACCCAGTACGTTTCACTGAGGCAGGGTGCCAGGGCATATTATGTAAAGTGTTGAACTTTACATGTTAAATTGGATATAGAACACTCAGTTTCCACTCCTCCTCTCTGGCAACAGGCCCAGCCTCGTGCACTTCCATATAAACTGGGCCCCTCATAGCAGAATAGCTGCCTAAGGTATCAGCAAGACTCAGAAACTGCAGCGGTCCTGTTGATGATGGCAGTTCTCTTCTCAGGAATCAAGGGGATGCTCTTCTTCTTGTTCCTCTCATGCTTTTGTTCTTGTCAGCCTGCACCTCCACTGCTGCGTTTCTCCATCTTCCTGGATCCTTCAAACATGGTCTACCTCCGCTGGGACCATGACGAACAGGAGCTGATGACATTTGAGCTGCAGGTCCGTACAACTGGCTGGGTGGCATTTGGATTCAGCCCTCACGGAGAGTTGCCTGGATCTGACATTGTGATAGGAGGTGTCTTCCCAAATGGCAGCATCTACTTCTCCGTAAGTTGAAAAGACATCCTCTGCATCCCCCTTTGACAAGGGTCATGCTCCAAGTATATTGGTTTGAAAGCATATGGGCTCAACTGGCTAAAGATAGATGTCCGAGGCCATTTGAGATCCTTAGTTGGCCTCTGACTGACAGTCCAGAAGAACCCAGGTCTTCTGCAGGTCCTGTGTCATGCCTGCTAGCCCCATGCAGCTACCTGAGATACCCTATGGTATCCCAGCTGGCACTAGATGATGTTTAGGCAAATAAGCTTATCCCACCTGCAAGTGAAAACCACAACTAGAATTAATTAGATATGACTGAAGCAATCACCCACCATGAAGCTAGAAGAGGCCACTGGGAGTGTAACTTCTGATTCACCCAAACCAGATGTCAGTTCAGACAGGAGTCAGATGTGAAACTCCCATGTTTTCCCTCACTGAAGCTCTTCAAAGGTTGATTTACTTGTTTTCCTCTGTAGTAAGCGGAGACGTGTTCACCTCCAAAGGTTGCTTCTTCCTGATGATCTTAAATGTCTCCCTTAGGAATAGGATAGGACATCCTTGGGACTTGCTGGTTTTTCCATTGTCTGTAAAGGCAACCTCTAATGATAGATGCCTGATGTTAAAACAACTGGAGTTTAGAGGAACAAAATGCCACTGAGGGTGCTAAATAAAAAAACCTAGGGTCTTGTTTTATTTTATTTTGTTTTAATTGTGAAAGAGAAAAAGGCAGTTTAATGTTATTCAGATACAGAAAGAAAGAGTTTACACTGATGAAGTGTTTACCAGTCACAGTGGTTTTATTTTGTTCAGCTGTTTTCAGTTCCCCTTTCACACAACAGTAAAATGTGTTTTGCATGAAATATGTCTGGGTGCCTGTCTAAAATGGGTGAACTTTGGAGGGGGCGAGGTAGCCAGCCTTACTTGTGGTCGTTGGTTGCAAAACCATTCTTGTAACACCCAGTTTTGAAATCTTTTTTATGACTGTGACACAGGCAGGAAATTTTTGGCTGTGAATGACTACAGGAAAAAAAATGGTAAATTTAGAAGAAACACTTGTTCTTTATTTTTTAATAATGATTTTTTTAAAAAGTGATTTTGGGTAAAACCAAAGAATTTAATTTCTCCTAAAATAACATCCTGAAATGAAAAATTGAAGTGTTTGGTTTCAAAAATATTAAATATTTCATTATTTTCAGAAGAGATATTTAACATTTTCAATGTTTTTCTGCATTGGTAGCCGAAACTCTCTGTTTATATTAGAAAACAATTTTGGTCCCATACAAGTTTTAGGTTTTTTCAACTCTTTTACGTGTCAGAAAATATCTGCCAATTATTTAGGTCTGGAGACATTCCAGTAAGCAAGCACATTAATGACTACAAAAATCCACATTTGCTCAGTAGGCTGTAAAGCACATCAACTGAACCCATGGAAGAGACAGTTTGAAGAAAAAATATGCTAGTTACTGTAAATGGAGTTTAAGTGGGGGTTTCCATTTGCATTCTTCCTTCTAACCCTCTCTGTCTTGCATCCTTGGTTTTTGTTTTAGTTTTCCTCTTTACTACAACCATAACAAAGTCATTATCTGAGTAATGTCCAACGGATGAGAAACTAGCGAAAAAGGCTTGGTTTCACAAAGGCAGGGGTTTTTATCAGTTGTTTACTGCCTTCCTCTTTCATAAGGTATATTTAATGTTAAATATTTTATTTATTTCAAAGTAGCTCATTTGCAGACTACTTGTCTTTGAGTTTGGATCTTTTAATGAAAGAGTGCAACAGGTATTTCAAAACAGTAGGAAAATTTAAGCTGTATTTTCAAACTATGATGTGTCCCTATGTAAACTGAGCATTTGGGTTTAGAGGAAAATTGCTTAGAGTATTCTGAAAGTCCAAATCCATAGATAAATTCAAGAAGAAGAAAGACTATTAGAGGAGATACTGGGAAATCTGGCAAAAGCTGTAAGCAGGTTTTGAAATAATCACTTAAAGGAACAGAGATGGGAGAAAAAAATACCAGAAAGTTTCACATAAAAATATTCTTTCTTGACCAGACTGTTGTCTGGTAAAATTTTTCTCTTCTATCTCCCCAAAGTTGAGTACTGTAGCAAAACTTTTCAATGTAGCACTTAACAGCTGTATATTAGGGAGACATTTGCTTTATTATGTTTCAGGTTTCTCTCGGAGAGATTTTCATCCTGTCTGCAGCCGCTGCCTTCTCATTTCTGGTCGTCTGAACTCATTTGCCACAAAAATATGATGCGATCTCAGTCAGTCTTCCCTTCCTGCAGCTGTGTGTACAGTCCCACCTTTTCACCTCATATTTTCAAAGCAGCAGTTATTGTGGCCCATTCTGTTCCCAGTGAGATTTCTATAGGAACTAGACATTTAGATGCTTTTCAAACTGCCTCATGTTTCTGTGCCTTTTTACCAGGTAACAAATGCATTTGATGCTCTCAGTCATGCAGTATTTGTCTTTTTCACTATGTCTGTGCTGCTAAAACCATTGGTTAGCTCGTAGTTCCTAGGAGAGCTTAGCTTTGCATCCACAACCAGGCCCAGGTTCCAGGTGGTATAGAAAGCCTAAAAGTTCAAGTGGAAGCTTTGGTATGCCTAAAATATTTTACTTCTGAACTACCCCTGCTTATTTTACTTCCCACCCTGTGTGGTTGAGCCAGACGCACTAAGATGTCCCAGCGTTCAGCAGTCACTCTCTCAGGAAGCAGGGGAGATCCTCCAGTTTCCATCCTATCCAGGTCATCCTCTGGGCGATGGGACCCAGGGGCTGCTCTTTCCTTGAGCAGGTGGATATAGCAAGGACTGGATGCTAGTTCTCTTCCATTGGTTTGTCGAAATCACCAGTGAAAGCAGAGGAGCTTTTTGGAGAATGACATGCTTTGGTCATTGCTGAGGTCCCACCAGTGGAACTTGGAAACACGACTTCTTGGAGCGTAGGAAGCTCTTGTCTTCTCTCTCTTGCTTTGACCACTATTCCTTTTCCAGGATTGTCACATAGTAGATGAGGCAACCCTTGAGGAAGATGGGAGCCAGGACTACCAACTGCTGTCAATGACAGAGAATGAGACCTCCACCACCGTGCTGTTCAAACGCCACCTAAGGACGTGTGACCCCAATGACCAGGATATCACGGTAAGGAAGGGGGTTGCTCAAGCAACATCCCAAACAAACCTGCTCTCGCGTCCCACTGTATTCCCAGATCCCCCAGATCAGATCTGAGAATGACAGGTTTTTCTCACAACAGTACACTAACCGGAATATAAAGAAATACACGGAACCATATAGCCACATTTATAATGCCAATTTCAAGGGCACTATTTTGATGTCATTGGTGGTTTTTTTATAATGTTTTCCATCAAAGAATTGGGAAGATAAAAATCTCAACATTTTCTTAAGCTTGAACACAGCTCTTGAAAATCCTGCTCATTTCTCTGTCCATCTTTTGTTTGCCAGACAAAAAAAAACAATCTAGTGTGGGAGATAAAATTTTTGCTTGCCTAATATAAGGCAGTGTTTTGGTAAGAATTGTATTTAGCAAGTTCAGAAAGTTTTTATAATCTCAGTCCTTCTGTCTTGGAAGAGAGAAGGTATTGGTATTGACTGACATTAAAAGTTTAGCGAACCAAACTGGTATTTTAAGTCAGAGATTTTTCAAAAATATGCTTTACCAAGGTTCACAAGCATATGAACGCACACAATTTCAGAACTCTGCATATATAGACACTGTTTACACAGTTTCATCTTTACTTGAGGGAGCTCTGGGTAAATCGGCATTATCCAAGGCTTAGCCCACTCAGAAATGTTTGTCCAGAATTCAGTGCATATTCACCATTTTTCTGCAGTTCAAATACATGTGCAAATGACTGGCTAGATGTCTTTGTAGTCACAAACCTTAATGACCTTTACTAATTGAAAGAAATATAATCCCATTCTGAATGGGAAGAAGCTACAGATTTCCATGGCTGCTGCTGTCCTTACATGATGGGGCAGGTCCAGGCGGATCATTGAGCGCATTCGTGCTCAACAGTAGCTGCTGATGGGGAATCAAGGGACTACAGTTTTGTCAGCTTTTTGTGTAAAAGTCCCTTAGTAATTCTTTGTAAAAATTGCCCAAAGTGCATTAACAGTATATACAAATAAATGAACTGCATCTGCTTGCTCCAGAAAATGCAAAGATCTGAAAATCTGATCTTTAGCTCTATTGTACAGCTCTCACAGCGAGAACAGTATCCAGACACTCAGTATCTGAACGTTTAAAACCAAAGTGATGCAAGTTCTAAAATCTTTATCGAATCCCTCACAGTCTTTTTTTCAGCTTTCTTTCATTTCACATACCAGCACTTTAAATCCATGCATACTTTAATAATGTGTGTGAAATGACAGTGAGTACAGTTTTCCTTGTGTCTTTTCCAGCCAGCACTCTCTCTTTGGGAAAAAAAACATTATGTGTCTGTCTGGACAAGACAAATCTTCTGTGTTACACTGCTTACTTTCTGTTGTGTGTTCTGACATGTTGTCTTGAGTGTCTGGGTGTGTACCAAATATGCCCAGTTATGTTATTTTAGGTGACTTCTAATTGCACATGGTTAGTATGTGAATTGAGTTTTAATATGTGTGCAGTTGTGTCAGTCATGTGATGTAGGGTGAATACACATGTGTGTGGTTGATGGGAAGGAATGATGGAGATTTTCCAGTGAAACACTCCCATTACAGATGGACACAGCACGCCTCATTACTGCATTTGGCACTGATGACACAGTCCAATTCTTTGAAGGCCAAAGATTTTCCAAATCTGTTTTCTTGATGAGGTACAGAGGCCCATCTGACTTAACTGACCCCAAAATATTCTTCACCTATGACCTGAGGCTGGACAATGTAAGTATTGGACAAGACCTTTACTTAGCATGTCAAAAATTTCCCCTTCTTCTGCCTTTCTTTGCAAAGTTGATCATGCCCATGCTGGAAGTTTGCATTGCACAGGTCAAAAGATGGACATGTCTGATCTTGGAAACATGCAAATAGAGCCAGCAAGGGTGGGAATGAAGTGGGAATGGAAGGCTTGATGTGTGGAGGGTAAAGGGCTTATTTGTTAGGAAAATGCTATAAGGTGTTGCCTGTTCCCTTGACTATAGAGTTCCCCTGACTAGAGCCAAACACAGACTGAATTGCAATATAATTATTAACTTAGGCATATACGTATACAGGTCTATTGTCCCATCCATATAGACCGTATAAAAATATCTATAATATACTGAAGATATTTACTGCTTCCCATGTTAGTTTCATAGGAACTACACAATATCACAGAGAAGAGAAATGATGGGTATACATTTAAATGCTCTGAGAGAATTCTGGCTAAGAGCTCAGAAAATGCAATACATACTACTGTGTGCACTGCCTCCACTATTAACTTATGCCGCATCTCAGTGTCAGATATAAGGATTTACCAGCAAAGCTGGAGCCCCCTTTAGCATTGCCTTGTGGTACATGTGCCATCCTTGTCAAATGGAGTTCAAAAGTGTCAGCTTAGTGTGGTATTGCATTAACACCTTCCTTCTTTAAACAGCACCAGCCCACACAGCACTCACTCAAGATGCAGCAGAATCTGCTGATCAGCTTGGGCAATATTCCATAGTAAAGAGGGGCACTATTTTTATGTAAAGATTTGTGGGATTAGTGCTATCATGTGTTGTGCTTGTGACTCCAGAAAACCAGCAATTAAAACTGTTGATTGAACTGGATGGATGTTTCCCACGCTCGGTTCATGTTACAAGAGGCAAATTAGTAATACAATTCCCTTTTGGGAAAAAAACCCAGAAAAAATCTGAAAGAAAAAGAATTTAAGACCTGCTGGAGCTGACAAATGTGTTTGCCCTTCACCAGAATACAGTTTCCTCTTCCTGACCCTTTAATCCTCTCACTTATTGCAACCAAAATCCAAGCACTTGCTTGCTGAATGCATCATCCTTCCTGCTCCCTCCAGTTCTGGGTCTCCTTCTCCTTGCACTGCCTCCCTTTGGCTTCTCCAGTTCCCTGTGCACATTAGTGAGTTGCCAGGAGAACCTTCAGGTGACTCCTGCGTGTTTCTTTTCCAGTTTGCTGTCCCAGTTGAAGAAACCATGTATGCCTGTACCTTTATCCCACTGCCCATGGTCAAGCAGAAACACCATATCTACAAGGTAAACTTGCACGCTGCCTTACTGGGGAAAAGCAGGACAGGACAGACTTGCTCCTTCAATCATGTGTACAAATCTGTCTTTTACAGAATTTTAATATAAATTTGGGAGCATTCCGTCTGTCCTTCACTGCCATTAGGATGAGCTGGCTAATTTGTCTGGCTCGTGTGGAGATAAGCTCTGTCTTGTTTCTAGCTTTGGAAGTACCTTTGTCTTTATGTACATCACACCTGAAGAAACCTTGCTACAAGTCTAATGTCTCAGTGTAGTGAGCTCAGGCCATGTTACCTATTGGTATCTTTGAGAGCAAAGGGATCCTCCAGGATTTTCTATATTGAAAGGACTTTTTGTCCTTGGAGATTGCTAAGAATATTTGTATAAAAGGCAAAACTAACATTTTTGCCGTCCTGTTTTCAAGATTGAATATGCAAAAATGAAGAGAAAAGGAAAGAAACAGGAACTTTCCAAAGCAAGCCTAGCTTACTTCTCAAATTAAGAAGACTTTGCTTCAAGGTCAAGCAACCCTTCTTAGTTTTGTGAGTTTTGAATGTTTAAAAACAGATGTTTCGCTGCAACAGCATAAGGCAAAATTTCATAAGAAAGACTTTGCATGGACTGGAAAAAAGCATTTAACAGGTAATTCTACAGAACAAACTCAGGAGTTTTAGTCAGTTCTTGTAACATCAGGATTCTGATGCCTGATCTCACCAGTGCTGGTAAAAAGTTTGGTGATTAATGAACAGATACAAGTTATTTGCGGGGTTTATTTTAAACTATCTCGATTATAGTACTTTTGGTACAGCTGAGGGAGCAGTGAATTATAGTGAACCTGAGATCAAGGTCCCTGTGATGGGTTGACCCTGGCTGGATGCCAGGTGCCCACCAAAGCCGTTCTATCACTCCCCCATCCTCAGCTGGACAGGGGAGAGGAAAATATAACAAAAAGCTTGCAGGTCGAGATAAGGACAGGAGAGATCATTCACTAATTACCGTTACAGGCAAAACAGACTCAGCTTAGGGAAAATTAGCTCAATTTATTACAAATCAACCAGAGTAAGGTAAATGAGAAATAAAACGAAATCTCAGAACACCTTCCCTCCACCCCTCCCTTCTTCCCGGGCACAACTTCATTCCCGGATTTCTCCACCAAGCCCCCCCAGCGGCACAAGGGGGACAGGGACGGGGTTTACGGTCATCACACGTTATTTTCTGCCGCTTCACCTCCTCAGGGGGAGGGCTCATCACACTCTTCCCCTGCTCCAGCGTGGGGTCCCACCCACGGGAGACAGTCCTCCACGAACTTTCTCCAACGTGGGCCATTCCCACGGGCTGCAGTTCTTCACGAACTGCTCCAGCGTGGGGTCCCTTCTATGGGCTGCAGTCCTTCAGGCACAGACTGCTCCAGCGCGGGTCCCCCACGGGGTCACAAGTCCTGTCAGAAAACCTGCTCCGTGGGCTCCTTTCTCCACAGATCCGCAGGTCCTGCCAGGAGCCTGCTCCGGCGCAGGGTTCCCACGGGGTCACAGCCTCCTTCGGGAACCCACCTGCTCCGTCGTGGGGTCCTCCACGGGCTGCAGGTGGAGATCTGCTCCACCGTGGACCTCCCTGGACTGCAGGGGGACAGCCTGCCTCACCAGGGTCTTCACCACGGGCTGCAGGGGAATCTCTGCTCCGGCGCCTGGAGCACCTCCTCCCCCTCCTTCTGCACTGACCTTGGTGTCCGCAGGGTTGTTTCTCTTACATGTTCTCACTCCTCTCTCTGGCAGCTGTTTTTTCACTGTCCCAACTTTTTTCCTTCTTAAAAATGTTATCGCAGAGGCGTTACCACTGTCACTGATGGGCTCGGCCTTGGCCGGCGGCGGGTCCGTCTTAGAGCTGGCTGGTGTGGGCTCGCTCTCTCTAGAACACAGGGGAAGTTTCCAGCAACTTCTTACAGGAGCCACCCCTGTAACCCCCCCCGCTACCAAAACCTTGCCACATAAAACCAATACAGTCCCTTATCTTGCTTTGCAGGCAAGAAAATGGTGTATGAGGTAAACTATTTACATTTCTAATCTGGAACCACACTGCCCAGCATAACAGGTCAAATAGACACCCCTGTGATTCTGATTAAGGGGAGGCGCTTTAAAGGAAGATGCAAATCCTTTCTGGAAAAATGGACTCTGCTGGGTGCATACCAAAATGAGTAGATAAACCATCATCCAGTTTACCATCCATTTTGCGAATCAGATTCTCTCTGTTTACCTAAGATATGGTTAACTGCTCTTTCTGGTTGCTTGGGAAAGAAATATTTTAGGGTTTACAATAACTTTTTTTGGCTCTTTCTCTTGGTTACAGTTCGAACCTGTAATAACACCCCACAACATAACCTTGGTTCATCATATTCTTGTTTATGCCTGTGGCAACGCCAGCGTGTTACCCAGTGGCATAGACGATTGCTATGGAGCCAATCCAGATTTTGCCCTGTGCTCTCAGGTGCTTGTGGGCTGGGCTGTCGGAGGGGAGGTGAGTCTGCAGGGCCCATTCCCTTCCCCATTTCTTGTTATGAACAGTAGTACCCTTGTTGGCAGCTTGTCCAGTAAGACCCCATAGAACAGGGCCAACCAGACCGGGGAAGTTTCCTCATACTGTCCCCACTCAACTACTACTTCTGCTGCATCTGGTGATGCTGGCGATTTCTACGTAGTTGTCGATACTCTGCGTATGTGTGTATTTTATTATCACATCTACATTAAACAAGTATCACATGTCACATACTAAGGCTTTCATTCTGACCTTTTAATAATAACATTGCCATTAATTTCACAAAATTCTCCTCACACTGATCTTGCATAACAGCTAGAAGTGTACCTATTTTCTGGTTTTTTTTTTTCTACTGGCTCTGCCTCTTTTTCAGCAGAGTAAAATTAAAAGTTCAGTGAAATTGGTCCTTCTGACTGAGTGGCCTAGTTAGAAGTCAGTGCTGCACAAATTTTAGCATCTATCTTGTGCCCTTCAGATCAAAATGTATTTTGTATTTCTATAGCATGCACGTACCTGGGGACAGAGAGAGAAAGGAGATAAGTTTTAGACAAAACCCTTATACGAGTTTTATTCAGATTTTATGTTATGCAGTGCCCATACTGATATGAAATGTGCTGCAAGAGTGTACACATACTATAATAATTTCCTATTAAATATAGTATAAAAATAAAAATGAAACCAATCAAAAAGATAAATGAAAAATAGATTTTGAAAATTCTTCCTTGTTCCAATTCAGAAGGAAAAGAAATGGAACTGGCAGGATTTCCCACAACATTTTGATTCCTAACAATGTCTAAGCAAATATTCAGAGACGCAAGAAAATAAAAACTTTCTTTTTGTAAGTTATCAATCAAGAAACACCAAAGAAGAGTTAAAAACTAACTACTTCATATAAGTTTATTCCTCGTCTTCCTCTTTCCACAAGTCTTATCAATTTCCAGATGAAGCTGCGGTTTCCATAGGGACACCTTGGGACCCTCAGTACGTCCGACTAGAAATCCATTACAGCAATTTTGACTTGTTACCAGGTGAGTAACGCTGAGCAGTTGTCTGACAAAGAACAGCCTCAGGATGGAGGCCTCAGACCTCACCTACAAGCCTTCTAGAAACCAGCTTCTGCACGAAACACTTCCATATGTTGCTTGGTACAACCCTCAGGACAGTAAGAAGAGACTGGACTAGGTTAAAGAACTTTAACTTTAGAAACATAGACAGTTATATCTGCTTAGATTAGACACATCTTACTATCGAAAAAGCTGAGCACATCTTCCTGCTGTGATACTAGCGGGAGTGTTAGGGAAAATGTCAGGGAAATGTGGACATCATGGGAAAAAGGAGCAGGGTGGGAAGGGACAGAGTGGCTGTGGGAGGAATAGGGGTACCAAGGGTCAGGATGAAGTCCTGAGACCCTAATGAGACCACCTCAGGCTTCCACTGTGACCTCCAGCACTCAATCCCTATAGCAGGTGATGAAGAATTGCCACCACGGTATTTGCTATCATTTTACAGAAGGGGAAACAAAAGCACGGAGTGGTTTTATGGGAATCGTCTAAGACTATGAGCAGGGCTGGATCCAGATGAATCTTCACTATGAGCGAAGGTCTGTGCAGCCGTGCGCCTTGCACGACTGCGAGGCTGTACACTCCAGTGGACCACAGCACTGGGGGTAGGGTGGAGGGCTTAGGTCCTCCTCTTAATCTGTGCCTGCTCCCAGCCTCTGATTGGGAAAGGGACACGCTATGTCCTGTTGCTTCAGGCCCCACTTCTAATGTTTCCAGAGTCATTGCTGAAGGAATGGTTATTTTTCTTTTACAGGCTTGATCGACAGCTCAGGGGTACGAATCTACTATACTCCGGAGCTACGGCAGTATGATGTGGGGGTTCTGCAAACAGGCGTCTTCATTTTCCCTGTGCATTTCATTCCTCCCGGGGCAGAATCCTACAGATCTTATGGCCTTTGCAATTCCAGCCAGTTTGATGAAGTGAGTGTGGGGAAAGCTGTACGAAATCCTTCTTGATCTTTCTCACTTTGGGTTTTCATCTTGCTCTAGGTTTGTCCAAAAGCTGTTTGGTGCAGGGTGCTATCTTAACCTCCATTTTTGCATGTTGCAAAATGAGTATCCTTTCCAATAATACTGCTCAGCAGATACCCAAGATTTGGCCCAAGAGCATAAGGACAGCTGTGTAAGCATGTCAGAACCGTGGCTTGAATACCCATCAACCCCATATAAGTGAAAGGGAAACAAAACCCAAAGGACGTAGTGACTTCCCAAGAGTCCCAAGGGGGTCCTCTCCACCACATGCAGGAGGCCTTTGTCCTACCACAGGTGTGTGGTACTGGTGCAGGAAGGCAGGTACTAGGCTGGAAGGATGTGGTGGTCTCTTTCAGGTCAAGAAGGTACCTCCAGAGTGGAGATCTAACATCCCTCAAAACACAGCCAAGAGGCTGCTAACAATAATCAGCTCTGGTGGACTGTGGGATCCAGGGGGATTCACAGGTCCCTCCAGGATGGCTAGATGTGAGGTTGCCACTTTCCCCTTTCCCAGGCCCAGCTGGTGCGGAGGCTGGGGGCAAACTCCAAAGATACAGACACCCCGTATCCCACCCAAACACACACACACACAGAGCAGACTCAGCTGGCCACAAGCAGATCAACACGGACAGGAGGACTGTACCTTTACAGGCACCACGAACAACACCCGCACGAGCATGGAGAACAAAAATGACCCAATCCTCCTCCTCCTCTCTGGTTAATCAGGCTTAAAGTTCACTAGAGGAACATCACCATACGCTCACTCACTCAAGCTCCTGTATGTGATCACATTGTGGGGGTCGCTCCAATTTCTGGTCCAGACCATAAGTCCTCTCAAGCATCTGTGCCCGGGACCTTGGGTCTTTCCAGCTTGAAGTTGCCTAGTGGAGGATCCCACTCCAAAACCACAGGCACACATATATACACAGTATAGAGAGCACACTCATCCAGAAAATAGTTAGGAACAGAGTTTAATAAGATAGTCTAGATTGGAGCAGTCAGGTGCTAGGTTTGGTCAGACAAACATACTGACCAGCAGTCTGCTTAAGTACAACTGGAGTCTCCACGTCTTCTCTCCATTTCCCATGTTTGTTTCTCTCTTTCCCTAACTTTGACCTCTTCCCTAAGTGTCCCTAAGATAATAAATTTTGCACAGTCCCACAATCCACTTAGAATATCCCATAAATTTTACACAGTCCCACAATCCCCCGTGAACAACCCATAGGTTTGCCCCCTCTTATGAGACCTGTAGTAATCTTGTTTTTCTTCTTTTCACCAATTTTCAAAGATTTTCTTTGAACCTTTTAAGGTTTACATTTTGATGGTTCTTTTAATGGTCCATTGATCAGTGTCGTACACTTTCTCCTTTTACTCTTTCTGTTATCTGCTCTTTCTTAGAGTTCATGTATCTGCATGTTTAACTTATTACCTCTCCTATATCTTGCCTTTGCTTTTTACGTAGCTGATAGCAAGATATGCTTACAGTACCCAGCATGAGATATCACAGCCTCAGACAACTATGCCAGAGTACCTAAAGCCAGAAGAGCAATTTTCAGAAAGGCTCACCAGAGCAACCTTTCAGTTAGTAGTGACCTACATAAGGAAATGGTCTTAAACCTCCTTTAAAAAAAAAAAAAAATTAAGCTGACATTTATATGAGTTCCATCAAGCTTTTGACTTGATGGGCAGGCCTGAAACATAGTGTTATGCTCTGATTGCCAGGCTCTGACCCACTTCATTTTGAACTGCAGATGAATGGGATGTTGGTTCCAGATTTGCATGTATTTGCCTACTTGCTTCACACCCACCTGTCTGGCAGAGGAGTGAAAGCTGCTCAATACCGGTAAGAGAAGGAAACTCAGTATTGCTGCCCATGCCGCAGGATCAGTCCCTGCCTCTTGGCTAGAGTAGATGAGAATGACGTTCCCAGGTTAGTTGCCTTCCGTCTGCCAGTGCAGGAGACTCTGCAGTGTCTGAATTGTAGTACAGAGAACCAGCTCTTAGGGAAAGAAGGATCAGCTCAGGAGAAAGTAAGAGACCACGACTGTGCTTCCTGTTAAATAAAACAGGTCTAAGCGGTGAGATCAAGCCCTGGACTGCTGCTCATCCCCACTAGTCCCCTGCTAGACGGTTCCCTTGCATAGCTTGGTCCTGCCACCCAGACTCACCCAAGGCTACGCAGGCACAGCTCTGGGGATTGCATCTACCAGTTCCCACGGGCTGCATGGGCAAAACTACACTGGGTTTAGTTTCCTCCACCATCCTCCCCCAGTAAAAACTTTAGCACCTCTATGTGCTCTCTGATCACACCCCAGTCCGTGAAGCATGTATTCTCAGTTTCAAGCTATTAAAATAGCCAGTCATGGTCCGCAGCATAGCATTTGAACATTACTTCAGCCACTTGGAATTCGAAAACAAAACAAATCCCAGAATTAAAAATTAATTGTGCTTTAGGCCAAAGAGGTATCACAGAGGACTAAGTGCTTGGTAGTATAGGTATAATGCCTATCTCCTCCTTAGGTTTCTAATTTCAGAATAACCCAACATGAGCCAAGCATCATGCTGCAGACAGTTATAGGGAGGCAGACACCTAGTCCGTGCCAGCGAGCCAGAGAACAAGCCACTATCCTATGATATTTAGCAATATGGGTGCAGCCCAAGATGTCACAGCGACACTCTAATCTTAGAGTGCTCACTGTGACACCTTCAAGATCAAGTTCCCTGCCTGTCTACATGGCATAGCTGGTGCACACTCTGGGGGGTGATCTGCGTTCCATCCGGAATGGCAAGGGGAAACTTTGGCATTGCCAGGTCCTTAGATGGCTGTGCTCTCACACCAAATCCCTAGACCCCTGCACTGTCTCACATACTGCCTCACACGATGATTCACTCTGCAGAAACTCCACACATACTGAGTTGATCATGTAGGTATGCAGGGAATCTGAACTACACTGTAGGCAAGCTGTGGAAGTCAGGAGAGTGCCTGCCCCCCACCCCCCAACCAATACAAAGCTGAGTTATGAGCAGGGCAGGTGTTGTCTTGTTTGGCTTCTAAGCACACATACGAAAAATCATTCAGCAGAATCTAGGTTGTTCCAAAATGGGACATCTGCCCTTGAAGATGGCCTTCCTTAGTTATCCTTAAACACCAATGGCACCCTACAATCAAACACAGTTTAAACACCCTGGCCCTGCACCTCTCTACCCACTCCTCAGCATGTCAAGGAGTGGGGCAGAGTGACTAGAAGCTCTGTCAAAGGAAACCTCAAAAAAGTGGGACCAACAACTGTCTGATGGGTATTTTCCCCTCTCTGGCCAGCCTACAACAAGCAAGCAGGGTGCGTGAGAGCCGCTGGGACAGCCTGGCCCTGAGCACCACAAGGATTTGTGGGCTGGATGCCTTGATGCACTTTGCAGTGTGCACAGAGGATGTACTCAGCAAGATCTAAGGACCCATAACGTGGATGGAGAAGCAGCGCTCAAGCAGAGCAGAGACCACCTAAGCAGAAATATCACAAAGCACTGTAGAAATAGCAAGGAAGAATTCACATGTGATATTTCTGCATCTGCAAGGGAGGTCCTAAACGGCCTGCCAACTCTACTCTGCTAGGGTCAGAGAGGTTTTTTATTTAGGACAGTGTTTTGTAATGCAAGTGTTGGGGTTCTTACTTCTGGGATCCCAGACTGTCATCTGAAAGGCGAAAGTTTCAAGGCACAACAATTACTGACATTTAAAAAGTCTATATTTGGACTCCAGACCAAAGAGGGTTGGGTGAAAAATTTCAAGTTTATGTTTGGGACTGACTGTTGCTGAAAATACATTCTGTGAATTTAGGTACAAAAATGATCAGGCATGATTTCTGGAGGGGATTCTTCTTGGCTCTGTTTGTTTCATCCACGAATCGGTTATTCCACAGCCCTCCCTGGAAACATTACAACTTTCTCCCCTTGTTCGTCTTCCCCAGGAATGGTGAGCAGCTGAGGATCATCTGTGAGGACAATAAGTACGACTTCAGACTGCAGGAGATTCGGGACATGAAAGAAATCCTCATAATCAAACCAGTACGATCCTCCCCTGGGATGTAGCCGTGGGTGGGCAGGCTGGGGAGGTGGCAAGTACCAGAGGTGTCAGAGCACACCGACATATTCTGTCCTTCCTTCCACCTCAGGCTGTGGCCCATTGTTTTCACACAGTTCCCCGGTTCCCCATGTTGTGAGCGGTTGTTTTGCGTGCTTTGCCCGTACCGCCCTGATGGTGGGCCCTACTGTGTTCCCTAGGGCGATGAGATCCTGGTCGAATGCAATTTTCAGACGCTGGATCGATCAGGGATTACTTTTGTAAGTTTGTTTTTCTACCTACAAATCTTCCATTGCTTTTATAATTAGTTTATCACCATTAAAATCTTTTTGGCAGACATATCTCTTCCCCAAGCAAATACAGTCCTAGTAAAAACTTGTGTCAGACACAATATCACAGACATACTGAGGCATGCCTTGCACGGTTGCTTCATAGCTGGATAGTAGCTCTCCAGCAAGACCCTCCTAATACAGGCTTATGAACAGATCCCAAAGCTATCTTGCATCTAATACCATGCAAGCTAACTCTTGCCCAAAATGTCAAGTGCAAGTAGCAAAACTTGCAGCTAAGTTGATTTTCAATCATTGAACACTTGGATTTAGTGGACAGGCAGGAGTCAAATACAGGAACTGACATAATCTGGCAGCTGGATCTGATCTGCACTTCTCAAAACATAAAGACATTCTTTTTAGTTCTTCTTATTCAGACCAGACACCAGTTTTGCAGAACTTCTCACATAAACAGTTATTGTCATGCTCAAGCTTCATAACTTATTTTAGAGCATATGCCATGCAGAGTAGTTAATGACATTATTGCATTTAGAAATGTGCACAAGAAACTGAGAGGTTTTGTGAAACCTAAAGAGGATTACAGAGCTTATATTCACAGAGAGCAACACTGTTTGATTTCGTTGGGCCCATTCCAAAAGTAGGGATCAACTGAAAAATTCTGCTCTGGATGTCACACTCAGTTAGTTCCCTGAATCCCAAAGGTTCAGATTTTGGGATCTTGTAGATTGAAATAAAAATATGGTAGTTTTCCTGAAGGAGAGAATAAGTAGATTTCAGTTATAAAACCACAGAGCAACCTATTTATCAGACTCCTGTGAGGATACTTTGATCCTCTGTTTCTAACTTTCAGGAAAAAAAAAAACAAACCTTTTTTTTTCACCAGACAAGATCTGCATGAGCTGTGAACAAGAGTGCTTTCCTGAAGAGAAATAGTCTCCTCGTTGTGTCTCAGCAGACCTCTGAGTCATCCTTGTGTCTTTGCAGGGTGGGCCAAGCACCATGGATGAGATGTGTCTGACATTCCTCTTCTACTACCCTCGTAACAACATCTCCAGTTGTATGGGCTTCCCTGACATACTGTACGTTGCTCATGCACTCAAACAGGAGGCTTCAGAGTGAGTCCTGAGTCAACATGTTTCTGGAAGTAGCATAGCAAAATGTGGCTATAAAGAATGGCAAATGGAAAAGATAATGAAAATGAAATGTTGCTGGTAGGGAAGAAAGAGCCATGTACCTGGACCTGTCAAGTTGAACTCCCTTGCTGCAGGAATCTATCAACTGTGATACTTTAACAATCTCTTCTCCTTTACCTTTTTTTCCCCCCTTCCTGTTTTATTTTTCCCTTCCTTCCTTATCTTCTCATCATTTGTCCTCAACTCCCCATTGCCCCTTACTCTTTCCCCAGTGCAGTGGAAGGAATGATGGCCATGGAGTTTGTTGACTGGGACAATGATACTGTCAAAATTGCAGAGAAGGCAGCCAAGGAGGCAGATCAAGTAGTCATGATTAAAACCATTGATGTAAGTCCCCCTTTCTGAGCAATTTGTGGGTGGGGGAATGGACTTGGCTCTGATGGTCCAAGAGTAAAGCACAGCTGAGAGGTAGAGCCAACACATAACAACTTGGGTAACACCAGCTCTTCACAGCTTATCCATGGCTATAGGAACTGAAAGGGATTACTTGAATTATGAAGTCCTGTCTTTTAGGCTGCAGTTGCAAGTAACTGTCCAAGATATATTTAGTCATCACTTAACTTTGAACTAAAAAAGCTAAAAATTCTTCTCCAAAGAGAAAAAACAGTCTTGCATCTTGGTAATATAACAGTGCCTAGGGGGTGATGCCATGGCAGGGCATTTTTGACAGAATGAGCAATAAAATAGTGCTGAAGGTCCCTCAGACAACGAGGATACAAAGGGAGTTACGATGATCCAGAAAATCCACATACATGGAACATAGCTTCCTCGCTCTTACTTATCTGACTGCATTTCAGTGCATCAGTCTGGCAACTACTCATCTTAGAGGTGAATTAGGGGAAAAAAATCTCTTAAATTGAGAAAGGATCAAAATTCCATCTTCTTCTCCTCTCTCAGAGAGCTTCTCTGCTGTCAGAGGGGAGACCCATGTTGTGACTTTCTCTGAGATGGCTAGTTATGCATCCAAACAGCAAGAAGACTAAAACACATCCAAAACTTGCAGTGTAATGCCAGTCTTGTGGCTCCCAAGTTAGAAACAGATCATGTAATTTTATTTTTCCCTCTTTCCTTCCATCCCCAGGAACTCCAGAGAAATGAGAGTGGTCTAATCAGAGACATTAGTATGCCAGAGCGGGCTGCCTGTCACAATATTTCTGGACACCTCTCACTGTCAGGTCGGAGGGCCACTGCAAACCTCCGTTTGACCGCAGTATGCACTTCTGAGTCACCAACCACCAAAGAAACTGCTATACTTCCTCTTCTTTCTCTCACACAGCTGGTGTTTTCTTGGCTGATCTTGGCCTCCGAGTATGGGAAATGAGGGGCAGAATACCAAAACGGATCACTGGCCTGTTGAAGAAGTCTCTGTAATTACCACCTGGTAGCACGGTATTCCAGATCTGATGGCCCTGAACATGAGAGGATACTTACATAATAGAAAATTGTCTCCCTTTGGAAGAAATAGGTTCAACGGGCATTGGCATTTACTCTGTTTTCATTAAAAATACTTTCTAGTACAGTTTGTTCTAAATCAGAAAAGCAATGTACTATAATGCAGTAAAGACAGGAATACAGTCATCTCTTCAATAGCTGCTGCTTAATTATTAAATCCAGAGCTCACTGGCATTTCAGTAATCATTATCTAGTCTCAAGCTATCTACATACTCCCTGTACTTAGGTCAGTCTGCTCCTTAGTTATTAAATTGATTCTAAAACTAGTCCTGCCATATCCATCAATGACTGCATGGCAGGAAATTTACCTGCTGATTGCCAGGTAATAATGAGACAATGGCTTGGTGCTTACTGAAAAATAGACCTTATACACTGTCATATAGCAAACCTATGAATTCTAATTTTACAAAAGCTAAATCATTTGCTGTTCTATTTTCTTATGTTTCCCTCCAGTGCATGCATGACAATTAGAAGAGCAAATCTGATGATAGTTATGTTCTTTGTCACCATAATGACTCTTCCAAATTTCAAAATTCATACTGGTACTTTTCAACAAATTGTCTCTCCACACTGCCCAAGGCAGAGTCTCTGGTTATTTTGGCAATAATTGGTACACCAGGTAAAGACACCCTCGGACTTTAAAAGCAAGCATCACAAAACAGAGTGATTAGGAGGGTAACTAACCATGCAGAGTGGATTCCTTCCTCATGGGGCTGATGAACATTTATTAGCTAGTAATTATCTTGGCTAAAACTGAAGCATGGACAGAAAAAAATAAAATTCACCTTGAAGGAAAGCTCATTAAGAGAATCCATGAAATTCTAAGAGAATCATCCAGACACTCAGAGCTGTGTCCCAAAGAATACATACATTACTGAGATCACTATGCTGTGCTTAGTAACATGATCTTAATTCTCACAAAATATTTTGCCCTTCAAATTCCTATGGGAATATATGACATACCTTCTCACTCACAGTGTAGCCAAGTCACAGTAAGGCTGGTAGTACTGAGTGAGACATTCATCCTCCCTTGTATTTAATTAGGGCAAAGGGCTATAGAATAGAATAGCATAGTTCCAGTTGGAAGGGACCTACAACAATCACTTAGTCCAACTGCCTGAGCACTTCAGGACTGACCAAAAGTTAAAGCATGTTATTAAAGGCATTGTCCAAATGCCTCTTAGACACTGACAGGCTTGGGGCATTGACCACCTCTCTAGGAAGCCCGTTCCAGTGTTTGACCACCCTCTCGGTAAAGAAATGCTTCCTGATGTCCAGTCTAAACCTCCCCTGGTGCAGCTCTGAACCATTCCCATGCGTCCTCTCACTGGATCCCAGGGAGAAGAGCTCAGCACCTCCCTCTCCACATCCCCTCCTCAGGAAACTGTAGGGAGTAATGAAGTTGCCCCTCAGCCTCCTTTTCACCAAACTTCCAGCCCTTTCACCACCTTTGTTGCCCTCCTCTGGATGTATACAAGGACCTTCACATCCTTCTTAAATGGTGGAGCCCTGGGCTGGTTGTGGCTGGGATAGAATTAATTTTCTTCATAGTAGCTGGTATGGGGCTATGTTTTAGATTTGTGATGAAAACAGTTTTGATAACACAGAGGTGTTTTCGTTCCTGCTGAGCAGGGCTTACCCATAGCCAAGGGCTTTTCTGCTTCTCACCCCACCAGCGAGCAGGCTGGGGGGGCACAAGGAGTTGGGAGGGGACACAGCCGGGACAGCTGACCCCGACTGACCCAAGGGATATTCCAGACCATTCCATATGACATCACGCTCAGCATATAAAGCTGGGGGAAGAAGAAGGAAGGGGGGGATCTTCAGAGTGATGGCGTTTGTCTTCTGAAGTCACTGTTAGGTGTGCTGGAGCCCTGCTGTCCTGGAGATGGCTGAACACCTGCCTGCCCATGGGAAGTGCTGCATGAATTTCTTGTTTTGCTTTGCTTGTGCATGCGCAGCTTTTGCTTTACCTGTTAAACTGTCTTTGTCTCAGCCCACAAGTTTTCTCATTTTTAACCTTCTGATTCTCTCCCCCGTCCCACTGGGGTGAGGGTGTGAGCGAGTGGCTGTGTGGGGCTGAAAACCACGACAGGCCCAGAACTGCGCACAGTACTCCAGGTGGGGCCGCACCGAGGCTGAATACAGCGGGATCATCCATCCCCTCTTTTGACCGGCTGGTCAGGCTGTGTTGGATCCCCCCAGGATGGGGTTTGCCCTCTCGGCTGCCAGGGCACGCACCGCTGGCTCACACTGAGCCTGCTGCCGACCAGCAGATCAGGCTTCTCTTGTTAGATTACATCTGCCGTCAGCGCAAAAACTAAAAATGGCATTTTCAATTGGTAAATGCTGCTATGAGCTAGGATATTTCCCCTAACTATGATTCACAACACAATGTCCACATAGCTGCCACCTCCTGCTCTATGAAAGCATTAGCCATGCAGGAATTAAAAACCTGGGAAGCATTAGGACTTGTCTTGCTTAGACTACCCTATTCTAGTTGCTGCCTTTGCATACTAAGCACCCTCCGCCCTTCCCAAAACTGGCTGGATCAGTTCCACTTTATTAATCCCCATTTGGCATCAGAAGTTACCTACACGGGGGAAGAACATGTTTCTGAGCTGCACAAACCCCACATTCCTCAGGACAGAGCAAGTCAGCTTGGCTGTGGTTTAGAAGAGCTGCAGACACACGACAGAGCCCCGAAGTGCGGCAGGGTCCTGTTTCAGCAGCGTCGAGTACGTTTCCCTATGGATCAGGGGTAAATGTATCATGTTTTCGGATGTCTGCTTCTGAGACTCTGTAGGGCTGCTCCCTGTCATGTGCCGTGGGTCCACCCTGAGAGCTTCACTCTGCTTTCTGTTCCATTTCATGCAATAACACTTGTCTTTTCAAAACACAAGAGGCGGGGGTGGGGAGTGGGGGAGGGCAGGATGTCAAGATTTGGAAATTCAAAATACTACCAATGCCAGAACCACTTCCTGACAAAGGCGACCACATCAAGGCCACAAGCTTACATTTAACATGCTACTATCAAAAGAGCAATTAGAGGTAGGCTTTCCTTCTCATTGCCAGTTTCCGTATGACAGAAAGAGGAAAGAACTTCCGCCTGAAGGTTCGAGAGGGGAAGGAGCGGTGAGTCGTCCTCAGTCCAGAGTACCACCTTAGAAACAGCAGTGAGAGGAAAAAAGGAGAAGGGGGAGCAAGAATGTCAGAAAATCTCATTTATGCTGACTTGAACTTGACTGATTCAACCAGGCCCAGACTACAGAAGGTCACTGACATCCCAGGTAGGTCAGTCGGTCTGCACTGAGCTTTCTTTGTATTCTTCAGCCTCCCAAACACGTATTTTGAAAGAGTGCCGTGGAGCACCAAAGCCCCAAAGAGGCCAAAGGAAATGTGAGGGCCAGTGCTGTGAAAAAAACAGATGGTGGGGAGTCCATGTAGTGTTTTTTACCAAAAAAAAAAAGGGGGGGGGGATTGTTATAAGGTCTACTTTTCATTTGTTAAGGTGCAGGTGTGAGGGAGAGTTTTCTTGTGTGATATTAAGAGTAGTTTCTATCATTTGAGGAGATTATTCCACAGCCGAACATCAATTGATCCTGAACCAGGAGTGTTCTCATGCGTCAGACTGATTCCTGCAGCAAATCGACCGGGAGACTGAGTGTCTGATGTTTCTGTTGTTTGAAGCAATCTCGCAAATAGCCTGTTTCTTCTTGCTGAGCATAGTGGGCATTGCTTTGGGGTGTTTTCCTCCTGGCTTTGTCTGTACAAACTACTTGTTTAATAAATCAAGCATAAAATGTTTCATGGACAGATTTAGTTTGATTTAGTATAAATGACTTGGCAAAATTCTAACCTAAAATTTATGGTTCTTTAATGCACTAAGAATTATTGCACAAAGTTTTGCACTATTTTTGCTACATCTGCATAAAATTACATCCTAAAATAACAGACTTCATACACTTTGTGCGTTTCATATTCTTTTTTCTTCCCTTTTTATCTGTTTGACAGAAACAGTAGTTTCTATTTCTTGCCATCCTGTGCTGGTCTATTGCATAAAGTGTGATCCCTTGGCATCTATTTTCAAATGGCTGGAGTTTCTAATGCCGCAAGAAACAGTGTTTCTACTACCTCTTTCAACAAGTTACTTCACAGCTGAATTGACAGGCACCCACAGTAGATGGACCTGACTGAAAATTCCATTTTCCTTATGATTTAATCCATGTACTCCTACTTACAGTTTTTATATGGTTTTAACAGCTTTTTTATGTTTCTCTGCTTGTGCCTTTCTGGAAAACCCTTATCAACTCTTTTCTTCCATGTGTACCTCTAATTTATGCATAGTATTTCCCAGTGATTACACATATCTTACAGAAAAGAGTTCAGACACTGGCTTCTGTCTTCTTTTCTTTTTCCTCCAGTTTTCTATTTTCTCTTTGATAATGGATTCCCTGGATCAAATACAGTGTTCACAAAGGAATGCAATTAATTCCATTAGCCAGAAGAATGCACTTAAACTCATAGAAGATGTTAACACTGTATGGTGATAGAAACAAAGGGGCTCAGTGCTGTGTATCAGGATGACTTTGAATGTTTTATAAAATTGCAACATTGTATTTCTTTCTTACTTTCTACCCCCTTTCTATGTGTCCCTCCCCTTCCTTCCTTCCCCACATGCTGTCTTCCATATTTGTTTGTATTTATTATCTGAAGATCTTTTAGAATAATTTTCACTTTTCTCACCATCTTATCATTAACTAGTCACTACTTCAAATTTAGCATGATCTGCAGTTTTCAGGTTTGCTTCAATGTTGTAGCCATTCTCACCACTCGCATATGGATATGAATTGAATAAGACAGTCAGACAGCCTTAGACATTTTTCTCCACTTCTGTTTAGATTTGAAATGCATGTGCATGTGCCCATGTCTCCTCTGTTATTGTCTGCACTGAAGATAACCCAGATCTGTTTCTGCCTATAGCAAGTCCTCTAAGGTGTAAATGCAATGGACAAAAATATCATTCAGGTATACTTAAACACAGTCACACAAATCAGTTGCTGTCATGTGTTTAGTATTTCTCATCATTTCAGTCATTTTTGTTCCATTTAAGTTGTTTCTCATCTTTCTCTGTTCTCTGTTTTTTTGCCTGGTTTTAGATACTACATATGCAGAACTGAAAGTACAATCCCTAGACACAAATGCTGCAGATAGCTACACATTGTCCGGTGAGTTTTTAGCTGTCTGCTAAATTGGTATGGATTTAAACAATGAGAGGAGAGGAGGCTGTTCCATCTTTTCCAAAAATGCAGTGATATAAACCCATATGGGTGACAGGAAGATACAGTTGTCTGCTTTACACAGCCAGAGCGGGGGGCAGTCAATGTGTTGCATTATATGCAACTAACCACGTGTTGGCGTCACTGGTGTAGGAACACAAGGCTATTTTGGGCCAGAACAAGGAACCACCTAACCAGGCCTCCTATCTCCAGCAGCAGCCGTAAGTGAATAACCAGAGATGAATAAGAAGAGGGTAGGCATGTATGATACCTTCCTGTAATACTTTCACGTGCATGCATCTACCCAGGGACTTCCTGAGACACATGTGTTTCTATTTATGTACGCTCAGTGGATTTCTTTTCTACAGACTTGTCTAATCTCCCCTTGGTTCTATACACAGACCTGATTTCTATCATGTCCTTTGATGAGGGGATCCACAGTTCTTTTTAACATCACACGAAGAACCAGCTTCATTTTTTTTACTCTGAACTGGCCTCCTATTAGTTTCAGCTAATGTTCCCTGAAAGAGACAGTAAGCAGCCAAACCCTATCCAAGGTCTCCATGACACTCAGGATTTTATATGTCTTCTTAGTCATCTCTTTTCCATACTGCAGAACCCTAGTCTATACCATCATTTACTGCTTCCCTTCTCTGAACATTTTCCACTATGCTTTTTGAAACAGGAGTAGTAGAATTGCATGCATGATCGAAGGTAGAGGCAAATCATGGATTTATAAAACCACGTGGCAGACAAAACATCCCTGATTTTTGTTCATTTTCCTTCTGAATAATTCCTAATGCATGAGGTTGTACAGCCTTCATCCTAGGAGATATTCAAAACTTGACTGTGCATGGTCCTGGACAACCTGCTCTAGCTGATCCCACTTGAGCAGAGAACTTGGACTAGATGATCTGAAAAGGTCGCTTCCAACCTAAGTGATTCTGTGACTGTGTGGTCAGGACAGCAGACCTGAAGTTCACAGATCTCCTCTAGAACTTTTTTATTTTTTATTTTTAATTCATATTAGATCTGTTACCTTCTAGTCCCTGGGTGCAAAGATAGCTTTAAGAGTAAGATTACAAAATGGCATCAGTAATCCAGCTATCTCACACTTAATGCCTCTTGGAATTTGTTAGTATATCCATTTTTTTATTTGGGCTATATGTCTTCCAGTTCGTGTGGCTCCTCACAAGGAACTGCCCCGAACTGGAAGACCTACCCAGTTTTTACTCAGTCAACCCTGATACGAGGGATTAATATAGCTTCTCTACTATGACCTTAATTTCTGAATGCTTCCTGGGTAGCCTGCCATCCACTGACCTACAGATCTCCAGCAAGGTACCTTTTCTTGGTGTGTTTGAAGACACGGTGTGTTTGAAACATATGTGTTCAAAAACACGTTTGAAGTCTTTTCCTTTACAAGTACTTTTCTGTTGAAGTCTTTCCCTTTTCAAGTTCTTTTCTGCCTAATTGGCTTTTCTTATACATAATCTTTGATCTCCCAGAGTTTGTGATATTTTCTATTTATTTCCTTCATTTAATGTCTACAGCTATGGAAAGTTCACAATCTGCTTCTAATACCTGTGTCAACTTCCTTTTGCCTGTTCCCAGATCATTCTTAGTAGGTGCCTTGTATTGGCCATGTGTTGCCAGGATGCTATCCTTCAATAATATATGGTGTGCCTGTATGGATTTCATTCTCTTTTAGCAGTCTTTTTCAGCTTCTTTTTGATAAGCACCCTCTCCTTCCTGTAGTTACCCTCTTTTACCCATTAGCACTCTATTTTTCCTTAGGTAGTCTAGCACTATGATGACTCTCTTCCTTTTAATCACTTCCTCATATTCACCACATATTGGGAAGCTGTTCAGTTACCTAATCACAGGTGTTCGGAGCCATCTGGGAAGCATCAGAACGTTTGGTCTGGCTTCAGTATGCAAATCTGGAAGGCCACAGATTCTTGGAGGTCCTGTGTAACATCTTCCAGGTCTGTGCAGTTATCTGATACCTGAGGGTATCTCAGGTGGCAGAAGCCACCCATTTTCAGGTACCTGACATCTGAGTACTCTAGTCTAGGGTGGGACATTCCAGATCTTCCCATCTTATTTTTCAGACTTCTAGTATATGTGTAGAAGCAGGTGTGCAACAGCTGTTGTTTGCTTCTCAACTCTTTATTTAAATGACAGTCAGTTTTGCATTTTCTGCTTGACTCTGTCTACACACTGACCTTTCCTTTTCCTGAGGACACAGTGGTTTTGAAGTCACACGTAATGGTAATATCACCCTAAACGGCTCTTTAGCCCATGTCAGCTTCCCTTTCCTCATTTTAAGAGTTACTTACAACCTTCAGCCCCTGCCAGCTTGCTCTTATAAATTTTTAATGTTACTTAAAACCTTCTAGATGTCATGTCCTGCAGCTTGACTCCCTTATAGTTAAGGTGAAATCTGTTCCTCCAGAGCGTTTGGACACTCTGCACCAGATGTGTCCCAAATTCTTGAAGAATCAGAAATCTGGATCCTTACTCCATCCTCTCAGCCAGGTGCTAAAACGCTGCCTTTTCTCTTCTCCCTCCAGTCCTGCATAGGGTACTGGGACCATTTCTGGAATGGTCACCTTAGGATTCCTGGTCACCAACTTCCTTCCTACAAGCTTCCATTTTGCCACTGAAACTTCTCCTCACCCTTCCCAATCATGTTGGTAACCACATGGACTAGTGTATCAGTAGATAGTTTGCACCTGTCAAATAGATTTGTTGATTAGTGCAATCAACATGTTTTCAGGGTGCAACTATTTGCTGACCAAACCTCCTCAGGCAGAAAACCTGACAGCACAGAGTTCTTCTTGAGTGCCACCTTCTTTCAAAGACTGGTTTAAAATCAGTCTAGTTTAATACTATACTAAGTATGACAGCTTCCTAGCATTTCAATAATTCAAATAGTAATGCACAAGCAGGTGTGAAAATGAGGTTACCAGACAGAACAGACCACATATTGACTTAGTTAGGATGAAGATTCAGGGTGGCTTCCTCATTTATCTAAAACTGTTTTCTTTACAGAGCAGGGGTAATAGCAACAACTTCAGTTTGGTTTTCAGATCCTAGTTGTCACATAGACACTGTAAACTTTAAAGATAGCAGAAGGGATAAGTAAATACCAGCAGATATGTGAAGCAAGAAGAGATGGAAAGCTCTCCTTTGTCTTTTAATTCAGTGCCTGATAAGTCCAGTCAGCCACCGAATATATTATTTGTCCCCTCTTGGACCTGCTTGTGCTCTATAGCATCTGGCCAGTAACCACTGAGTTGGCAGACTAATGAATACCGCGAGGATCCCCTTGAAGTAAATCCTGAACAAAAGTCCATAAACACCAGTCAAAACAGATAGAGGAGATGGTTAACTCCTCTGAAAAATTTGTTTTGTTGAGGAGTATAACATGGCAGGACCTTTATCTGGTAAGTTGATTGGGTTTTGCTTTAAGAGTATTTTGAGAGGGTAGGTAAGGATCCCAGTGAGCACTTAACTCTAGTATCAAGTGCAGCAGAATTTAACAAAGTATTCTAGGCAATGGCAGAAGGGTTCAGACTAAAGGTCTGTGATGGAAAAAAAATGTGCCCACAGCGTATCAATCACAAAAACCAAATATCTGAAGGAACAGCACTGAAGGGCTTTGCCTAACTTGAAAGAGTTGTCTCAGTGTGAGCGTGAAAAGGGCGTTTCTGAAGGAAGATGAAGGGTTCCTTTTCATCGTTTCCCTAATCTTTATTTTTAATGTCTATCTGTAGGTAAAAGCTGTTGCTCCAGAACACGTGTCGCTGTATTGGTTGCTGTGATAATCCTCCTACTGGTCTTAGTGGTGTGTCTGATACTCATGTGTAAGTCCTGCTAAAAATGTAATAACTACAATAAATTTGTGACTCTCACCCACTGACTGACATCTAGGTCATAACATCCAAAATCAGTAGCAACAGAAGGCTAATTTGAAGGCACAGGACAGCAGTTTTTAACCAACTGTGCCTGTAACAGAAAATCCGTAAAAGAGTCAAGTGGTTTGAAAGTTTAAAATTCAAAAAAAAAGAGCAAAAACCCAATTAAAAAACTGACAATGTTCAAACAATAAAAAATTTATTATACTAATGTTTTGAAGAAACAAGCCAAGATTAGATAATGCCTATTAGTATTAGGACTGCTATCCATGAGAATATTTCAAGGTGATGATCATGTCACCAAGATGTCCATAAGACCAAACATCTTTAAATAAATATGAATAAAAGCTCATTTGAAAGAGGTAGCTAAGTCACAACTTAAAGGAATTTCTTTGCACCTTACTTGAATAAAAGCCCAGTACTAGGTCTCTCTGCATGTGTTTCACTGAGTTCATAACAATCTTTGAACTACATAAAAAGATACACTATTTTTTTTAAGAAAGAATGCATTCTTATCTCCATCAGAAAAAACCCCAAATTTTAATAGAGCCATGTAGTACTTTCCTTTCTGAATATTTTCAAGGAATCATTTTTAAATTTCAGATGTGGTTGCTTGTTTCTTTTCATCCTTTGACAGTTGAGCAAGCTTAAGAGGTTTGCACAATCAATCACAGTCAAGTCCCAGAGTTTGCCACCTACTCAGAGATGCACATGGAGAAACCCTTTGTGAAGACATGCCAAAACTTTTGATCCATCGAACTTAAAAAACAGGGTTGGGGGAGGTAATTGTTTTTTTCTTTTTCAAGGCAAAGAGTAAAGGACAGATGTCTGACAGTGTTCTGACCTTTATAAAATATAAAATACCACAGGAAGGGCAAAATTTAAAAAAAAACAAACAACGAAACAATACAACATAACAGGTGAGATTACCAGCATTTGATAGAGCTTTAAATCAGGAGTTGAATGAGGAGTCATTAGGCTTTGATTCAGGTCTGGCTTCAGTTGCAGTTACTTTGCTGGGCTTTGTTGGGTTCAGTACTGCCTCAGTGAACTGAAAAAATGCTCCTAAGAAACTTGACATCTAGATCAAACTTGAGAAACTAAATCAAATTAGTTTTTAATTTCAATAGCATACAGTTTTCACTTGTACTCCAAATGAAAACTGTTGTAATTTTGACTGCTTTATTTCTAAGTTTAATTTTATATGAGTTTTCCATACAGTTTTGTTTTGCCAAATATACCGTTGTTGACAAACAGCTTGTTGAAATGAACTAAACTGTAACCGCTTAATATTGGTCCATCATACAAGAGCTCTGCAGGCCAGAAAACATTTTGCATTTCTGTTCATGAAAATGACAACAATATTACTCAGTGGAATCTGACTAGATATTTGATGATTTTTATAGTAGTGCCATATTATTTTCTTTTTTCTTGAGAGAAAATTTATCTGTTAGTAAGTAAAAAATTGGCCCTGCAGTTCATGAGCTGGTCTTCCAAGAAAAGGCAGTCTGACTTTGTTTTCAAATGTTCCTTCATATGAATTAAATTTTGCTGTTTTCTGAAACCAGGAGCTGATATCCAGCCTCAAGATATATGTGTATAAATGCATATATGCATGGAAAACATATGATTTCAAACTGATATTTGTTTTATTTTTCCTTGTTGCTGTAGGGATTCAGTAGAAGGCAAAGAAAGACTTGATGTTCTCAATTAGCATATGACTAAAGCACGATAAAATTCAGTGTTATGTTGCTCCAATTAGAAAATAACACATTGTTGCTTTGTTAGGTTTCAGTGCCTTTGAACCATTTTCAGTAATGCTGCTGTCTCAATCTCTCAGGCAGATTTCAGAGTTTAAGGTGACAATATTCCAGGAGAAAATCTTGACCCACCATTTATGTGTTATAAATTAATTTCCATCTAGTAGGAGAATCAGTAGGGTGATGTTCATTTTTGTAATGCATACCAGTATGCATTCGTTCTAATTTTTCACAGAAATGTGCTTTAAAATTATATTAGGTAGTTTTAATACCAGTATTTGGTACTATTATGTACAAAGGACTTCAGGGTATCTTTGTAAGCAGTACTTCAAGCTTCCACCCACAGGCCCAGGCTATATGCAAAACCCAGCTTCTTCATTTTCTAAAATGAAATTATTCTGAAATCTGCTCATATCATGGTTTGGGGAACTTTTCCTGAAGAGTAAATTCTGTTTCCCCATCTTCCAAACATTTGGTTGCTCCTTCAAGTTCTCAGTCCTCAGCTTTACCTTCATTATTTCTGCCACAGTTATCCGTTTTAAAAATCTGTAAAATAGAATGCATACTTTATCATGTGTATCTCTGTATACAGGTTTGGATGTAATTCTATATACCAGAGCTTTCAGAACCTTTGTTTTCAAATGTTCAGCCATACATCTTTCCTTGTTTGGTTTTTTTTAATAGTGATATCTAAGACTCAACTTCTCCTACACCAATATATTGGAAGCTAATCCCTAAAAGGAACAGGGCAAATCATACAATTTAGTCTCCGCAAAATTAGACTTTTATTGATCTACTTTGATTTTTACATGCTACAGTGAAACTTTTTTCTCACAACTCCAAAAGTCTAGTTCTTGCTTGTTATCAGGAAAGAAATGTAGATTAGTAGGACTTCCTAGGCAGTGTGTTTTTGAAGTTTATAGTGGCTTTTACAATTCATACTTCAACAATTTGTAAAAGAGTAGTTCAGCAACTGTTTTGCACCAGCTCATTATGATCCCAGTAAAAAAAAGGTACTCAGACTCTGTAAGGTATTATTTAAAATGCTACTTATTAGAGCTAATGCTATAAAGCAAGAAAGGACAGTACAGAAAATCCTAGATCCCTTCAGGTGCTGGGAACCCTGAGCAAAATTACAGAACTGAGGAACTTGGTGCAGTGGCTGTTTTCTGGGAAAGCAAGTATAGTCATTTCCCAAAAGAATACTGTTATTTCATACTTATTTCCTTTTATCGCTTACTGTCTGGGTCTAGGCTTATGGAAGGAGCTGATTAATCCTTTGTACTAAAATTGAGATTCATTTATGTCACTGCTGTTTTGAGTCTCTGGTGGTCCTTGAAATCCTTCTGGACATTTTTGGCAGTGGGGTTTCTGAAACCTTGACGGTCTATAGATAAAACTGAAACAATATATGTGGAGATAAATGATATGTTGTATAAGATAAGTGTATATTCGTTAATTATTTCAATGTTGAGTATTCTACTAAATCATTTAATGTAGTAGTTGAGGGGATATTTCAGCCATTACGAGTATTTGTAGTTGCCAGACAAAAAAATTCTATATTCTCTTTATGATCGTCATAGAGCTAAAAGTTGCTTCATTTTGGCTACGAAGAACTCTCTGAGATGGAGTTGGTAGAAAAAATCCCCACATGTTAAGGGCTGGTCAGGTTGTTTCTCACAACAGGCAAAAGTGTGCTTAGTGAAAGGGGTTCCCTTTCCTGAAAAAGTTTGCCTTGACAGTATTTTTTGTTCCTTGAGGAAATAATTAACTTCTGCAGCATTCTCTGAAAATGAATATCTTATTGGAACAAGGGCACAAATACTCCTCAGGATTTTTGTCAGTAAAAAATTGGCTACAGAAAATGTATTGGAAGAAGAAATGCTACATTTATGATAAAATAACCTATTTTTGCCAGAGGTGGGTACAAGGCAAACCCGGATTCTCTGTAACAGAGGTGCTCGTCTCTCAAACTCAATAGTTACTTCTTGTCAGCATAGTTATGACTACATTCTGGTGGGCTGAACCCCTTCCAAGATATCATTCCCACTGCACTACAGGGTCTTGGATCTGTCAAGACGCATAGGTACTAGGGAAGTGGTTTTATCCCAAGGAAAGTAAGAGCTCAGGATTGCCACCTTCCTTGTGGTTAGTTGCAGTTTGGATACTTTGGATCCATCCTTTCACTACCAATTTTCAGTGTCTGGAAGAGATTAGATGTCACTGAATCTAAAGGCCACTCCACTTCTTTTCCCTCATCTTATTTTTGAGCTTACTGCTTGTAAACAAAGTTCTTCCTTCAATATTCTGTTTCTTTCATCGTTTGCCTCTAGTATGAAATCTACAGAGATGTCAGTTCTTTCACGCTCCATGCCATTCTGGTACAAGTTTCTTAGAACTTTCTTTAATTCAGTCTTTTTTCTCATTTTATATATATATTTTTTAAAGGAATTTATCAATTTTGGTTTCAAGTATAAGAATTCTATCCGTACAATTTTTAGTTTAATACTTCTTCACTGTTATTGTTCATCCCTTCATTGTTCAACTCCAAATAACCTCAAAAATGCCTCTTTAAACTTTGATATAGACAACTCCCAGTTAGTTGAGCTAATAATACCCATTCATGTCATGAACAATTGTGTCTTTAAAGCTGAGGTTTCCTAAGCAGAGAAGCTGGGAGAATATCAAGATTTTCTTACTGCTACACAGAGCCAGCTGGAACAACATAATCCTCCTTCAGCTTGTTAACTGTGAGTGATCCCTGAACTCCATACTTTCAACAGGATCTAAACTCTTGAGGGAGTTTGTAAACAGATAAAACCAAAGACATGAAAATCACATGAGCTTCTCTAGTAAACTAAGCATAAGTTTAGTTCATCTAAGGCCTCAGCTACTTTCTTCACCCTCTCAAAACTCTTTTTTTTCTTATTCTCTGTGATAAATTCATGCAGTCTAGCTAGTCATCAGATAATAAAAATAAATTTGTAAGCCTCCCTCCACGAGTCAGAGTCAGAAGCCTCCTGTGGAGCACAAATCCCTCACAACCACTGTGTCAGAAGAAAGAGGAAAATCAATGCTATTTCAGCCTGGGTATCTGCTTTAAAACCTAAAATGAACACTATCGTCTCATTTTGGTCTGGGGGGGAAACACTGTTAGACCAGCTTCCAGCTGGGGCACAAGTATGCTCTGCCTGAATATCTCACGCCAGTTGTTTGGGGTAGGAGCAGACAGTGACTGCAGCTCCAAGCACGCTTAACCAAGAACAGATTGGCTTGAGCACTCATCTCTCAAAGACAGCTCTTACTTCTTACTGCTATAGTTGTGTGTATACTGTACACCACATGTACCGCTGCACTGAAAATGTGCAGAGCATTTTTTGTCAAGTTCCAGAGTTAGGCTCTTTGGAAATCTGCTCCATAGTATGGTACGACAGGTTTGGGTTTTTTTCAATGGAGAAGCCAAAAGGTGAGGAGTAGGCATTCTGTGTGGGGTGATGGTGGGAGTCAAGGAGGTACAGAAGAGCTCTGACAACATATGGCAAAATGGTCAGCCATGCAAAGCAGAAATTGTATTCTTATTTCCAGACCGTCCAACTGCAAGCAGCCCGCCTGACTCAAAACCATCCTCCACCACCTCTGAAGAGGCACTAGGTAGGTAATCTTCTATCATTCAAAAGACAGTTTCCAGAAGCCTGTTAGATTGCCTTTTTAGGGGGGGACGGGGGCAGTGTCTAGATTTTGTTCAGAAGAAAACCGAACAGACAAAACCCCTGACATCTCAGGAATAAACAACCTTATCCTGTACACTCATAGGATGAGCTGCCAAGGCCAGAGACATTTCACATTTTAATCATCTTTAAAAGTAGTGCTTGGTCAGCGCTGCATTACTGTTTCAGAGGGAAGAACTGATTGCTCTCATGCTAGTACAGAAAAGCCCGTGGCTAGGTGAACGGACATGAATATAAAATCCCTTTGGTATCACAGCATTGTAGCGAACATGATAGATCAATGTGCGTCTATTGCTTTTCAAATACCCCTCCATTCTTAGCATTTTACCGAAGTGCAATTCCCCTTTGCTGTTTACAAGCTGCTGGATAACCAACTAAACTCTATCAGGCAGTCCCTGTCTCCCTGAATCCTATCACCGTTTCCAGGTCCCATTCTCTGTTCCTCCCGGTACCCAGCCTGGCAATGGAGAGAAATGTTCTGTCTTTCAGTTGCATCACTATTGCTGTGTTTTGCAGCAGGCAAATAAGACATTTGAAAACTGAAAGCTGCTTCTTGCCCTGACCATTTCTCTTTATCTCCTGAGCAAAGATTTAAAAGGCTGGATAATGTTATCCATCATTCTACTTCTCTGACTCATGCCTAGTGACTCTTGGGCTGGGATTAGCTACAGGGATCTTAGACTGGCAGGGATCCTCAGTAGTCTGGTGGAAATTTTAAGTAGGACCATACAGGTACTTTTCTGGTTGTAACTTACTCTCTTACCTTTCTTTTGTAATAGGATCCTTTCGTTAGTGTTAACATTAATTTTTCCACACCTGTTCTTCCCTCCTGCAGGCTGCCCCCAAGACTGGAAACAAAATGGGGAAAAATGCTACTTCTTTTCTCCAGTGCAGAAAACACTTGACTGGAACACCTCCCGTAAAGAATGTATTGACAAAAATTCAGACCTGGTGATCATTGACAGCAAGGAAGAACTGGTGAGATCTAAATTCATGGGGCTGCTCCTAGGGTTGTTTGACCTGTATGCCAAAGGGCTGATGGGTTACACTTGTGTCTTCTCATGTTAGAGGTCTTTGCGGACCTATAATCTACTGCTAGCCACATACAGCAAGCACCTCTGTACGGTAGCAAACACCTTCACAGTAAGGTGCATCTTGGTGCTTGAAGTCTCGCATCCAGAAGCTTCTGTCTCCAAGCATGCTCCCATGGGAAAGAGCAAACTCTCTGCCTAGCTGACTTATGTTTTAAAGGGATTTAGCACACAAATCAAGACCAACAAGTTGAACAGACACTTATTTGTGAGAGCCATTGCTCTGACAAAAACTGCAAAGGCTTTCCCATCACAATCAGAATAGAAAAGTGTCTCCAGGTAACACGTCTCATCTGGCTAACTACAATGTATAGCTTTAATGGTATCACAAGTGTATTATTCTGTTTAGTCTATTCCTAAAAGCCCCAGGAAGAGAGATGAGATTAAAAATGGAAAAGTTTAGCCTCTGAAGCTGTGGAAGGAGATGGTGTGCACACAGTTCTGTTGGCTATTTAGCACTAAGATTTCTGTGCACCTCTGGTGAAGAAAATGTAATTTTAATGTATTATCATTGTTTGTTTCCTTTCTAGGGTTATCTTTTTTCACAAACAAGAAGTTATTACTACTTACTTGGTCTCATATTCTCGAAGAGAGAGAAGAAGTGGAAGTGGATTAACAACGTGGAACATAACCCAGACATGTAAGCTTATTCCAGCAAGTTACTGTGATACAATGTCTGGAACCAGTAAAAAGGAAAAACCTGAGCCAACAACAGGGAGTACAAGAGAGATCAGGGACTGCAATTTGTAGCAACCTGATTCCTTGAGATTCAGGTGCTTCAGCATATCCCTGTGACAAGTCAAAGGGAGCCTGTAAATCACGTGGGAACACAGGCATGTCACATCAGGATGGCAAGAGAGGACACAGCTGTGGTTCTGGTGGGGAAGGAGGAATCTGACTTGGTAGAGTTCAATGGGGAAAGAAAGGATATACCAGGCAGATATAAGAGAGACCATGATGTCAGCACCATTGAATGGAGGCTACCAAAGAAGAGGAAGGTTTCTGGATGGGAAAGCATAGCTCACATACTTTTGTTGAGGTCTGGGGAAGAAAATAAAGGCATGGGAGGAAGATTCTAATAAGGCAGCTTCTAATCCCACTGACAATAATATAGCTTAGCAGCAAGGCCAGGTGCCACTCTGTCTTTCACAGAGGCGATATTGTCTGCATTGCATCCAGCTAGGTCAGGAATGCAACTAGATCTGACTTTCTCTCCCTGTTCAGGTTTACTATTGGAGGAGACTTTACTGACTATTTCTGCACTGTCATTGGACATGACAAAGTAGAAACTGCATCCTGCAAGGGAGCCCTAACAACACAAAATATGTGTGAAAAAGCTGCAAATATTTTAGAAAGGCAGAAGGAGAGCTAAAAACAAGATGTCTGTAGAGCTTGGCCATGGGATGAGTGAGGAAGCTGGATTTGGTGTCGGTGGCTGAGATGAAGCTACGCTGAAGCTTTCCTATGGAAGCCCCTTTGCCAGTTCAGGAAGATGTCTGTTCAAGGCCAGATTCTGACTAAACGATGCAAATTAAATTTAGAAAAATGTCAATGACACTACTACCCTTATAGAAAAAAAAAATCTGCAAAAGCCACTTGTGATACCTAATTAAACAAAGGATCTTGAAAGACCAGGAAGATGTTTTCAATGCAGCTTCACTTTGTCAGAATAGCACCCATTTCCCTCGGATGTGGGAAGCAGGTTCAGAGCATGAATAGGCCTGTTTGTTATTAAATTTATTTTTATAAGTTTGAAATAATTAATTGCAGGAAAACTAGGTATAATTAATGCCATTTAGCGATATTTGATACGAGACCTCAGTAATGTGTAGGCATCTGTGATCCCAGAGGACTCTTCTGGGTCACAAGCCTCTGCCAGCTGGTGTTAAATACAATAACTCTGTGGCATCTGATCATTCTCATTTTCTTTGTTGACTCTAAAGCACCCAGACTTCTTCAAAGGGCCAGTAAAGCACAGGTGCAGGCTTGATGAAGGGACAGCACCTTCCACTTGCTGTCAGATGAAATTTATTCTGCTGCAGGGCTTCTGGTGGATCACTGACTGCTACGAACAAGGGACCAGCTAATGCCCCCCAAATACCATCTCTGAGAGATATTGCCTATTCCTTATTTCTAGACAAAATACAGACTGCTAGACTCACCTTAATAACAGGCAGATTTCAAGTAAATTTTGAAGGAAACGGTAATACAAATCACAGAGTTCAACAGGAGAAAAAAAAAACCAAAGTGAGTACGTTCACAAGGATAGCTCATCCTGGTCAGCTTTCTCTGAGGAGATGACTGACTCATCCGAAATTAGAGTTTTATTAAAACATTTGACTAGGATTACACATAGAAAATCATTAACAAGCCTTCTGGAAAAAAATATCATGTATAATACATTCAGTAGTGGCCTTGCTGCAAAATGCACACATCTGCTAGTAATGTCTAAAGTGACGTAAGATTATGTCTGAATAACACAAGACTGGAAGACAATGTCAAAACAGGAGAAGATCCAAGCCTAATACAGTAAGAACTGCATGACCTGAGTAATGTATATGTATATGGAAACGTATATGGAAATGTATATGGAAAGGATGATGAGTGGGAACCTGGAGTTTTTAAAAAACATTTTTAAATGGTGTCAACAAATGCAGTGTCTATCTTTTATCCGTTGGACTTGCTGATGTAGCTGTGCCCTTCTTGCCCATTCATGGCAGATGGAGGCAAGGGGCAGAGTAGGAAAAAGAGAAAGCCTTGATGCTGTGCAAGCACTGTTCAGCAACACACAAATATCAGTGTGTTATCAACACTTTTAGCCACAAATCCAAAACACTGCACCATACAGGCTGCTATGAAGAAAGTTAACTCCATCCCAGCCATGACCAGTACAATATCCACCCCTTATTCCATATCATTTGCATCATGCTCATAACCCCTCATCAACACCCACCCCATCCTTTGACATATACACAGATGTCATTCCCTTAAGTCTACAGGCCATCCCCATCAAATGTTGATTCCAATATCCATTCAAATATCCATTAAAGTCTGTTCAGTTAATTTAGTCCCTGACTTGGACTCCATCTGTTACGGTGGTCACTCAGGACGGGAGAGGTGCCGTGTTGTCAGGGATTGTTGGGTGTTAAAACCACTATGGGCAGGGTTATTGCTGGGCTTGCCCAGTTTCTTGTGAGGCTCTTACCCCCCACTGGTTCAGGTGGTTCCTGTTATAGTACTTCCTACAACATACAACTCAAATCATGACTTATTTTCCCCCAAGGTTAAATCTCCTTGGGGTACACACCAGTTTTCCCCATCCTTCCACTTTGCCGCCCAAGTCCACCCACATCCTTGAGTGAAAGCAATCCCACAAATGGATTTACCTCTTCCCAAGGGAGGAGCAACCCGCACTGTCTTTCCCAGGCAGTTCCCTTACACGTACTATGGTAACCTTACCTCTTCCTACAGTGTGTAGGGCCTTTGTCTGGGAAGAGCCAGGTCAGTCAGCAGAACCTCTGGTGTTAACCAGCCAAGTGGCTTGTGCTAAATTTACATCCCGGTGTTTCCATGTCCCAGCACTCATCACTCAGCATAGTCTTTAGCAGCTCATTGTAATGCTCAGCCTTTCCAGAGGCTGGTGGGTGACAGGCGATGTGATACACCCAATGAACACCCATGTTCCTTGGCCCCATTGACTATGAAATTGGTTTGGAAATGGGTCCCGTTGCCTGACTTAATTCTTTCTGGGGTGCCATGTTGCTAAACATCTTGCTTTTCAAGACCCAGGGTGCTTTTTTGGACAGAGGCATGTGTTACAGGGTATGTTGCCAACCACCTGAAAGTCATCTCCACCATGGTAAGCACATAACACTTGTCTTAACAGGTTCATGGCAGCAATTCCAGTTGAGAACATGCTTGTTAGTGCAGACAGGTTGCTTCAGCAGCCAGCTATTACCGAGGAAGCAAAGGACAACAGAATTTCATATCAAGCACCAGTTCCTCATTGCCTGTCCGGTTCTTCTCATCTGTGAAGTTAAAGGTCCCGGGGAAGACTGCATCTTTGGAACTGAAGACAAGCCTGGTCACTGATACCTAGAAGAATGTTAATAATATCTATAAAAACATTCAGATATTGGCAGATGTTTGCAGGGCATTTACCCTTCCTATCCAAGAGAAGACAGTGACTGCCCATAGTGTCACGGTGAGCTTGGGAAGAGCTATTGCTCTGCCTTAGGCAGGTGATGCACAGTGCTCATCATATTCTCCCCTTGGGATTGCCTCAACCACATGCCACCAAGATGTCATCAGGCCACCTCAGCTGTGCCCACACTGGACAACACCTCAAATTCATTTTATGAACTCCAACCACTGATGCTAGCACACATCCTTGGCCTGATTTGTGCATGGTGCCTGTGCACCCACAGCCACGGCTTTCCCTGCAGCGTGGGTTTCTGTGCGGGACCTCACCTCATCTCAGGGGTTAGAGAAGAGGTACCTCTGGGCTACTCACAGCTCTGTGCGAATCATTGTGTCCTAGCTCCTGGGGAGGGACAGTCCAACGCAAATGGACTCAGCTCTGGAGGAGCAGCCTAGCAAGGCTGTCTCCATCACACTGGGAGGGACCTTGAGGGCTTCAGCACAAGGGATAACTCTCTGTTAGATGACTGGAAGAGGAAGAAAAAGTCACTCTACGCAGCAAGAGACGTGCCACCATAGGGTGGAGAAATGGGGACAGGGCAGAGGAGAGAGGACATATCCCCACAGCTAGGGTAAGGCAGGCCACTGACACGCAGGGGCAAGCACCCAGGGTAGGACGGCCCGAGGGTACCCACCTTTCAGAAAAGCCCCGCTTGCTGCTATGGGACTGCATGCTGCTGCACCTCTCACTACTGCTAACTGATGTGCTGATAGCCGAGTCTTTTTACGCTTTTTTAGTGGTTCTGCTTCAACATTTTTGGCACCTGTTGTGGTTTAACCTCAGCCAGAAACTAAGCCGCTCACTCACTCCCCCCCACCCCAGTGGAGATGGGGGAGAGAATCAAGAAAAAAAGTAAAACTTGTGGGTTGAGATAAAGACCGTTCAATAGGACAGAAAGGAAGAAAATAATAATGATAACAATGAAAAATTACAATAATAATAATGATAATAAAGAACTGGAATACACAAAACAAGTGATGCACAATGCAGCTGCTCACCCCTTGCCGACCGATGCCCAGTTAGTTCCTGAGCAGCTATCTGCGCCCCGCCTCGGCCAACTCCCCCCAGTTTATATACTGGGCATGACATCACATGGTATGGGATATCCCTTTGGCCAGTTTGGGTCAGCTGCCCTGGTTGTGTCCCCTCCCAATTTCTTGTGCCCCTCCAGCCTTCTCGCTGGCTGGGCATCAGAAGCCGAAAAATCCTTGACTCAGTAGAAACACTACTTAGCAACAACTGAAAACATCAGTGTATTATCAACATTATTCTCATACTAAATCCAAAACATAACACTATACCAGCTACTAGAAAGAAAATTAACTCTATCCCAGCCAAAACCAGGACAGTATTATTGATCAATTTAGCAGGAAGTGGATTTATTATTCCTTATTTGAAAAAACATCGTTACAGATCAACAAATATAGATTTTGCACTTCCTCTTACTGTCAGTGGGAGTTATATAATTGATACAACTCTAAGTCTTACTGGCAGAAAAATGTGTGTAAGTATGCATTTATTCAATGCATTGCAAAAAATCATACATACAGTACATGCACTCATGTACAGCAGCTCTACATTTTGAGGAAAACACTTTTAAAATGAAGCTGAATTTTCATGGAGTCATACACTTTTATATTGAACCGAATTAAATAAATGGAAAGGCTCAATAGAATATAGTGTTTTTCCATTTTTAGTTGCCAGAGAAAATCAGACCTTGGAATACATACACTTGCTGCTGAACTGGGCAATGGAACATCAGCACAGAGAAACAGCACTGAGCAGAGAGATCACCATTTGCTTTTGATAAGCAATTTGGCAGGGGATAGTAGCACATCTAATTGAAGCCAGAAGCAAATAATCTTGCTTTCTCTTTCTTCTTCATTCATCCAAGGTAAAGACTGGCTTTCTGTTTTCTATCCTTATCAGAAAATGAGCCAAAACTACTGCAAATCTTAGCCTTCCACAAAGCAGATCTTCACAATTTATTCCCATTTTGCTTTTTCTTTACAGTAAGATCCAATTGGAAAATGCGTAACAAAAGCTCAGCTGTACCATCCTAAATAAAAAATTGTTACAGTAGACTATCTCTCTCTAAGTATGAGATTTGTGACCCAAAACCCACTTCCTTAAAGGGATGCAAGGAACAAACCTCATGTAATCTTCCCACTGGAAGCTCTCACAGCCTGCTATAAACTGGCATTAGCTTAAACCATGTGGTACGTGGGTACCCTAATCTTTTCTGTCACATTGCCCAGACATCTCTGCTCACTTGGAGATCATGGAACTCGTTTCCTGAAGTCCCTTTCTTGTAGCATAAATGCATTTGGTTCTGTTTGCCCAAACTTGTTTTAAAACAATAGGTGTTTCCTGAAAATTCTCCTTTGTTCAATGAGGTGCTGCTGCTGTTCATGTCTCTCAAATGTAATTTCCCATTTTTTTGCTCACTTACCTTGCATGTAAAGCTAAATGCAAGCTGTAACAGTGAGACAAAAGACCCCACGGTAAGGGGAAAAAAAAAAATCGCCTTTTTCATTTTGCACTCAACTAGACACAAATCGCAGGTACTTGTTTAGCCCCGTGTACTTTTCCTGCAAGGCCTTTGACTCATCTGACTCTCCTCTGTGACAGCCACATAGGCTGGGTAGGTAGAGGTTCAAGTCGGTAACTCAGGTTGGAAGCAAGTTGCATTGTGCACCTGGATGATCAAAATGAAGCTCTTGCAGGAGTCCACAATTGCTTGCATCAAAAGAAATATGATGGTATGAGAATATTTGAAGCAGAGGGTCCTGGGCTTTGCTAGCTCCTTTGAAGGAAAACAGAGGAATATCCTATCCAGAGCACATGAGCAGTTCAGATCTGTAGGAAGAGACACCTGTACTCAGACAGCTTTCAGCACAAAGAGACAAAAGTATATGTTTCCACGCACCTTCCCCCCCCTCTTTTTTCCCCCATCTTGTTTTTGCGTAGGTTTGATTTTTTTCTTCCTGTTTTGTGTGGAGTTCTGGTTTGCCTGCTATTCATCCACTTTCTGCTATATTTGCTTTTTGTTAGTGGAGTACTGCCTTCCTGCTTAGTTCTATACAGCAGCTTCTGGGTTTGTTGTTTGTTTGGGTTTTTTTAAGAACCTTGCCTTCATTCACTGTTTCCTCCTAAAAATTAAAATCCCTTGGTTGTGATTCTTGCCAAGATACTCATAGCATTTTTTCCATCAAGCGTATGCTGACTGATACAGTCATGTCCAGTCTAACGCATACTGTATCTGTCCCAGTCTTCCTGTTTATTACTGCATTTACTTAGCACTTACCACAAAACTCAGTATAATCTGTCTGGTGAAGCCTCATCCCTGCTTCCACTTCCCATTCTCTCTGTAATTCCCTATTGCTTCTTTTCAACACTGCAGCCATTATGGCTAGGACACTCTTCACAACAGACATATAGGTGCCAGGATCTGTGCTGACTTACTGACAACAAAAACAATGCACAGGGGCTGCTCAAAGCTTCTGCAAGCAATCCATCCATCACATTAGCAAGGTGCAAATAGCACAGTTGGACTTCAAAGCTGAATGCAGAACCCCAC